GTATAATTTTAACTCCGCCTACGATAATTGTAGTCGGTCCCAAATCCGGATAAATGAGGAGCATTTTAACTTTTATTTAATTTATAGTACGTATAAGTTGTACAAATTTCAAATTCTTTAAGAAAAAAAATTATAGGGCGCTAAGGCTCGAGTCAAAAGCTCGGGCCGAGTCTCATTTTTTTGGCCGAGCTTTTGCTCGGCTCGGGACTCGGGCCAAAAAAGCTCTGCCCTTTTTGGCTCGAGCCGAGCTCGAGCTTCGAGTTCCTGCTCGTGGCTCGACTGGATCGTTGCCATGACTAGTGTCGCAGCAACAGAGCTGATGTGTGGTGCTTCGCATGACAAGTTGGATGAAAATTTGGAGTTTTGGATGCCGAAGTTTTTTGGATGGGTTTTATGTTGTTTACGGTGTTTGTAGTTGGTTGTGGAACTGACTGTGATGGTACTGGTATAGGTGGCAGTGGTGCTTGTTGGGGTGGTTAGGTACTGGTGATTTCGACAAATGGTGGTGAGATGTTGTTGGTAGCGGTAGGAAACAATACATAATTCCAACATATAAGAATCTCATTTCAAAACTAACACATTTGTCAAATTATTTCAGAATTCAAATGTTAATTCCAATTAATAATATATATAATATATAATTAATTATCCCCATCCCACCATACTACAAAATTTATAATATATATCAGTTAATAATATCTCCCACCCCCACGGACCCCACCTAGAAAAATTTCAAAAATTAAAAATATTTTCTGGAGAATACACCTGAAAACCCACCCTGTAGAAGTTTTGAAAAATTTAAAATGATTTTCTGGAGGTTACACCCCACCCAAGGACTAATTGTGTTTTTTGTGACCATGCATGTGTTATATATGACCAAAGGCTACCAAATTTGTCTTCAATGTGATCGTCTAATTTGTGATTGTATTTAACTAAGTCACTAACATGTGTTTTTTGTTACTAAGAGTGACCAAAATTATCTTCACAGTAATTGTCCATGATCAGATCAATCTTAATTGTGACGGTATGGGTCCAAGTCACAATCGATCACCATGGACACAGACTTGGTTACACTAGTCAGAATAAACACATACTTGGTCACATAGGGTTATCACAAATAAATCTGCACCCCCCACAAACCAGTACTACAATCCACCACCAGCCACCACAACCATCACCTTCAATACACCACCATTACCCACATTTATCTTAAATTCACGACAGTAAATATTACATTTACTGAAATGTGTTATCTGTGACTAAATTTGTCTTCATTGTGACATTCTGTGACCAGGTCAGTCTAATTTGTGACTGTATGTAACAAAGTCATCACATTTAACATAGATCTAGTCACATACAGTCACAGTTAACATATATCTGATCACAGAAAGTCACAATGAAGATATACTGGTCACACCCGATTGCCACTGTCACCGCTCCAGCTACCACCACTCCAATACCACCATCACTCCTAACAATGTCAAGAACCAAATGCGCATCACCTCACCACTCCAACCTTTAGTTTTATCAGCTGCCATAATTGAAAACGAGTTCAACACACTACCACTTAAAATG